GAGAATAAAGTCGCAATGTTAGGAGAATAAAGTCGCAATTTTAGGAGAATAAAGTCGCAATTTTAGGAGAATAAAGTCGCAATTTTAGGAGAATAAAGTTATATTACGAGAATAAAGTCGCAATTTTAGGAGAATAAAGTCATAATATTACGAGAATAAAGTCACAATGTTAGGAGAATAAAGTCATAATATTACGAGAATACAGTCATAAATGAGAATAAATTCTAAATATGAGTATAAAGTCAAAATACTACTATGAGAATAAAGTTGTAAAAAATCATAATACTCATAATATTACGAGAATAAGGTTGCAGCGTTAGGAGAATAAAGTTGTAATATTATGAGAATAAAATTGTAAAATTACAAGTAAAATTATAACATTACAAGAATAATGTTATAATATTACAAGAAAAAAATCATAATATTATTATAATAAAGTTGTATTTCATGAATTCTTCCAAGAAGCCCCGTCTTGCCTAAAATGAAGAATGTCCAGTATCTTGTGAAGTTATACTTTGGCACCAGGAAATATTAAGTTTTTTAGCATTAAATTATTCTCATTATGTCTGAGACAAAGTGGACTCTGGTTGCTGATTGGTGGAGCTGGTCATCCACCATCTGCTGGGCGGAGCTTGAAGCTTTCTTTTTGAAACGTGTTGTAGTATGATGACTTAGTATAATTTTTCAACTTTATTCTAGTAATTTTATCACTTTATTCTGATGTTACGACTTTATTCTCAGAATGACTTTATTCTCATATTAAAATAAAAGCAGAATCAAGCCTGGCCCTCATGCAATCACTACATAACAATCAGGAAAGTCAGGTTTTGATCGTCCAATGAACCAGCCATCGACATTTTGTCGTTTCGTTGTGTTTTAAAACGCTTTTATTTCACCCAGTCTCATTTTTATAATGAAGCGGAGCTTTAGCGATGAGTCAATCAGCGCTGACAAAAACAACATGCAGCTCATGACGCAGCAGATTTGTTTATTCCAGACTCCATGGTCCCTAAATACGGGTCCTGTTAAGGATGGGAGTCCATCAGGGACACATTTATGCGTCATAGAGGTAACAGACATTATGTTCCAAAGAAACAACCCTTCATTTCCACATGGAGAGCTGATAAATGGGTCTGAAAGAAACCTTTACAGAACATTATGTTTTCACCTCGCCGTCTTTTTCAATTCTTCTGTCTTAACTGCAGGATTTAGAAGAACAGAGTCGCTTGATCGCTGCCTCAAGTCGCACTGCCAACCCACCCGCTCCAGATGGGCAGTTTCTGGTGCTCAGCAGTAGCCAATCAGAGGAGAGTGAAGTAGGGGAGGAGGGGAAGAAGCGGGGTGAGTCAGAAGCCTAATGACTCTCAGTGGGTGCGTGCTTTTTGGCTGCCAGCTGACCAATTGGAACAACTCGCCTGCTGTGAATCGCGGGGACTGAAAAAGACGACGCGTTTCCTCTGCTGGACTGAACACACCTGTACGTAGGAGGAGAAGGCAGGGAAACATGAAATGGTTTTTATTCTGTGCAAAAAACACAAAGCTTTTCTACTGGCTCCACATTAAGATTACCTTCAGGTTTCTGTTTTTCTAAATGTTTATTTTTTAAGACAAATTAACAGTGACGTTTAAACAGAAGCTACTAGATCTGAAGGACCAGAAGGAGATGCAGAAGCAAAGTCCAGCCTGACGATCAGGTTGTACTAAAGCCACTCGAGCAAGGAGGAACGATTTCTGCAGCTGAGGACTCTGTCTGGTGGGAAAACAACATTCGCTGTTCTTAAAATGAGCGTAAAAGCACAGACTTTTATTTTGAAAAGGCCTTTCTGTCGACAGCCATCCTGAAGAAGAGTTTTATTTCTATCTGTTAATGTTTCTGCGTCCAGATAGAAGCTGAATGTCGGACGATTCCAGACGTTCAGCGTATTGATTTACCTTTACCTCTCTTATTCGCTCCAAGTGAATCAAGGCTCAGGCGAGTTGGTTGGAACATCACATAAACATGTGTGGGAAGCTAACTGTCAGAACAAACATACGCATAAGTGTCTGAATTTGTAAACGCAACTCTTTCAAATTTAGGTTACAGATAAAATTAAGCAGGATGATGAAAAAGGGGTCCCTATGTCCTCCAGCAGTCTAAGCCTATAGCAGCAGAACTATAGAGATAGCTCAGGATAACCTGAGCCACTCTAACTAGAAGCTTTATCAAAAAGGAAAGTTTTAAGCCTAGCCTTAAAAGTAGACAGGGTGTCTGCCTCACGGACTAAAACTGGTAGTTGGTTCCACAGGAGAGGAGCCTGATAACTAAAAGATCTGCCTCCCATTCTACTTTTAGAAGTTCTAGGAACCACTAGTAAACCTGCAGATTGAGAGCGAAGTGAGATGCAAATAAAGTTAGAACTTTATAAAAATCATATATTTACAGGTTTGAATCTATCGCAGAAGTGCCCCTATAAGTTGTTTGCTGAGCAGCATTAAAGGAGAAGAAGAAAATAGAACCATTGAAAATTATTCTGCTCATATATTAAAAGAATATAACGTTCAACCAAAGGATCTATTGTCATCTTATTCTTCTTGTTTAAAGGCGACTTGCTAACAGCTTTCAGGGGCATCAACGGTGTTTGGGAATTTATACTCGTAAATTTGTATTTATACTTGGAGTTTTGCAAAGTTGTACCTTTTTAACTTGTATTTGTAACTTCTAAAGAGGAAACATCTGTGTAGGAAATGAACACAATGAAACATTCATAAATTTATTAGCATTTATTAACAGACGATTCCATTCGTCTTTACCCCATAAAGCTGCTTCCGTTTAAGTTGATGATCGAAAACAGCTTTGAAGAAGATTTCATGATTTTGTCCAACATACTTTTAAAAGTATGTTGGATAAAATCATAAAGGCAGTCACTGCTGATTTAAACAGCATTTTTTTTATGTTGATCAGAGTTTCTAGGAACTCCTTATCCAGGACTTGCTGTTTATTGGGGAATAAACACGACATGACTAAGGCCCATTTGTTGCAGCTGCTGACTCATACATGCAGATTAGAGGTTTAGAAGAAAAAAAGGCTTCATGCTCAAAAGTGTGGAGCGTAATAAACTTTGGGATTTTAGTCAGACATGAAGAACCAGGCTGAGCTTCTCACTAGCAAACAGATCAATCTTAAGTACAGTGGTGGCTCTGTGTTGCTGTGGGCCTTCCTGTATTAAAGATGGAGTCCTATAGAAAACATTAATGGGTCTTCTTAAGCCGGGCATACGTTCTGCAAATTTTTTAGATCATTGCACGCAGCTACAGCTCACACTGTGCGAGCTATGTTAACTTGACGCTACACGACGCACGCTAAGGCTGAAAGTCGGCCTGATTGAAAAATTCTCGCAGGACTGGAAAATCAGCCCGAAAAGGGCAAAAAATCGTAGAGTGTACGCCCGGCTTTAGTGGAATCGCCATAGAAACGGTTACCAACCTTCATCTGGCCCAGTTAAACGTTAGAAGGCTGAATGCTGCCCTGCTGCAGCCTCATGTTTTATTTTAGTTTTTCCTGGGAGATTTCACTGCTCTGAAGGAAACTGTTTCATCGATAGGTCCTCCTACGGGTCTGTCTGTACCTGCAGGAGGACTCCTCAGATAATCGGGTATCTGATTGGACCTGAGCTCACTTGTATTTGCAGGTGGAGGAATGAGTCATCTTCTTCAAGCAGTGAAAGTTCACCCTGAGCTAAATCACTGCCACATCCTCACCCAGACTGGTGCTTCCTGTTAGCTTTCAGCTGTCTGACAGACAGGTCCTGAAATTCCAAAAAAAAGAAAATTAAAAACAATCCACTGGACTTTGTTTCTCTTCCATCCAGGAAGCTTTTTCAATTCCAAATGTCAGAAATAGCGTTGAGTTCCAGGTTTTATCCAGCAGACCAACAAAGCCTGGTTTATGTTTAGAAAACATGCAAATAGAAACAGATGAACGGGTACCCCCCCTTTGGAATGGGGGTCATTTGGCTTCTTTGTTAGCCTGCAATGCCCCATACCTGTCTATGTCTCTGAAAGGTCGTTAGAGGGAATTGTTGGCCTGGATGAATAGATGAGCCTGGAAGTCAACGCTGTTTCTGATCATTTTAATTGAAAAAGCTTCCTGGATGGAAGAGAAACGTCTTCAAACTTGGAAACAAAGTCCAGTGGATTGATTTTAATTTTCTTTTTTTTTTTAATGACTATGACCTGGATGACTGAGGACCTTCACCAGCGCACTGAACTCTGTTTGTCGGGCACTAAAGGACGCTTGAAACGTTTGCTGATTAAAAATCATCTCAAGGTGCCAAAATTTCTTAAAATACTAAATAGTGAGGCTGAGAACACTAAAAGGAAAAACCAAGGAGACGGGAAGTGAGCTAAACGCCTCCTAACTTCTCTGCTGAAATGAAGCCTGTAAATGTAAACAGATCAGCTGACTGGCTGCTGATTGCATCACATAAACTTTAAAATAAAGTCATTTTGCAGCAAAATTCGGCCATGTTTGCCTCCTTAGACTAGAGGTTGTTTTTATGTGGTGAAGGAAACTTTCGCCTCTGAAGTTACTGATGTTTTGCCTAAAATCACTGACTGCCGCTGCTTTAACAGCAGCTTTTTTATTTCAATCATGATGAATTTCACTAAGAACCAGTAAAATGGATTATTTCTTTATTTTAAGTTGTGTAAGTGCAACATTCTGCAGAAGGAAAACCTGATTATAAACGTGTCCTTAAAGGAAAAGTCCGGTCAGCAAGGAATAATCATTGGATCATTATTTATACCTAAAACTAACACGTTCACTGAGATTTAATGAATTTAGCCTTAATCAGAAAAATAATAATATCAGTTGCGATCTGGGAGCGGCCATTTTTGCCCAAATATAGTAGCCCCTCCCTCCTGCCATCTTCCAGCAGTGACGTCACGGTGCGGTAA